TCTTTTTCTTAACAAACACTTTGTGCTTCTTACAGTTCCTTTAAGTACTTAATATGCCTAATGTTGCTCATTATTATTTATAAGTTTTCGTAAATGCGTCCCCGCTGCTTAGGCAGAAATTATCGAATATTTACAAATTTAGAAAAGTTGCTTGTAGCACTCGCAGAACTGTATACCGGAGCAGTTTTCAATTTATGCATTAACTTCTAGGATCCGTTGTACGATAACAAGAGCGAAACAGAGGGACAGAATATCAATGACGCTTTTGATAAAACCAATAACCTTCTGCCCGTTCCGTTTAATTTTTTTCTATTCATTGATTCTGCTCTACAGATGGAAAATGTTCGAAAATTTTTTGCATACGCCGTAAAAGAGAAAAGCGATGACTTTTCACGATATCTCATATATATGCTCGCGTAACGCCCCCATTTTTGGCTTAGTAAAAGAGCTTACAGTCACATAAGTTTATTACTTCATGGCACTAAACATGTCAGGTTTGCCAAACAGAATTTTGTAAACTGACCCCCTCCTCTTCTTTTTCCGACAATAACATGCTATCTCATACGTGCACTTAACTCAATTGCACGAACGCAACACCAAATTGTCTGTTTTCTGAAAACATATAAGTTAAAAGTTTTTGATCTTTATTAATGGTCTTTTATAGTGCAACATGCAAAAACAAGACGTTTTATTTCGCAGAGTTTCATAGCATAAACAATTACTTGGATATTAACAAATGTTGTATTTGGCCTCAGTTTACTGATCTGACCTGAACTATTTTATAGTAAACATAATTTTCGGCCTCAAATCCACTCATTGAACAAAGTGGACAACCTCAAATGTATGTTAAATCCCGACTCAAATGCTGCTCTTCATATTTAATCAGACATACAATCTATTGTATGACCTCCTGTTGAGGGTTTATTCGCGAATAATGGAAAATAGCAGGTCTGTAATAAAAATTATTCTCAGCCTTCTTAAAAGGACATAGAAACAACAGGGAGCACAGTGTCAGAAGAAATATGCTAAAACGACCAACCTCCCACAGGACACTGACTGACTGATAAGGATTGGTAGGATGCCCTTCTGAACGCGTACCGACATTAGCCTTCATTGAAGAAGTTGGAAATGATGGGCCAACGGAGAGTAAGTAATCCGCCCCCTCCGTGCTGAATTCGGCGTGCTCGGCGGACTCGGGCGTGCTAGCAGCACTCTGAGCGGGAAGACCCGGCAAAAGCAGGCTCCATAGAAGAAGAGCG